CTGAAAAATCGATACTTGTTTGGGGGGATGTTAACTTGGTCCCTAAAATCTAAATTGACTTTTTATGGAATCACCTTGCATTTTTTCGACACTCTGAACAATCAACCTCTCGTGATTAGAACTATGCTCTGGCAGCAGAGGCAACTGATTCACGACAACTGGGCTCAACTGGTGCTCGGATGGAGTCGTTTTATACTTCATTTTCCCTCGACTTCCCCCACCAGCCGAGACTGAATTGACATCGTCAGTTGATGAGTCATAAAATTTGGGCACTCCGGCCTCGCGACGTTTGTGTTTGCGTAGTGAGGTGGGTTCCTGGTTGATTACTTGTTTGTTTATCAGGTGATTGGGTGATTGCCTAGTTCCGTGTCTTGAAGATAGATCCTGTCAAAAAATCAATTTCTTTTAAGGCTGAGAGATTTGAAAATTGTTTTATGTAGAACCCCATTTCTGGTTTTAAAAACAAAACATTCAAAACACAAGCCTTTCCGTATTTTGTGCCAAGGATGAATTTTCTTTTTCCATGATTTAAAATTAATGATTTAATTTTTGAAATATTTTAGGCAAATTCACTTTTTCAAAACATCTTGAATTGAATCAATTACTTACTCTCGTTGGCGTTACTCGTTGGTTTTCCTGTACCATCGGAGTTCTAAAAATAGATACTAATTTTATAGCAAATCAATGCTGTGTTGCTGGCTTTGATTTTATCTCTGATTATTTAGATACCTTCTTTCTGGAGAATGAGACACAGCTCCATTTCTTTGTTGAACCCCATAGCCTCTAGGAGGCAACTGCGGCCCACCACCAGAAAATTGACCTTCCAAACTCCTCTCATCGACCGTGTGACTTTTTGGCGAGATCGCCCCATGCCCGTCTCCTTTTCCTGGCCCTTCATTGGGCTGGAACCCATAGGGACTGTTGAATCTGTGCACCAGCTGGGTTTTGGGAAACGAAGTTTTCCGACGAGCAGAGTTCGGACTTCGTTGCGTGCTAATTGTAGTAGGGGTAGCCCTACCCCCGAAGGGTATTTTATCACTCGAAGCCCACTTTTTATCTTGTGGGTTTTGGGTGGGGGTGTTTCGGCCTAACTTAGGAGGCACAGAAGGGGGACGGTCTGTTTGTAATTGTGATTTCCCTTCCATCGTGTGATTGTTACTATTGTTGTTGTTATGATTTGTCTGTTGCGTGATGTTGGTAGTGCCAGATCGGTTGTACGAAGGTTGGTATGCTTGCACTAAAAATGAGATTTTGTTAACTTTTACATCGTTGGTGGTAACTCGTTACAAAGTACAAATTTCGAAGGTTTATTTCTCTATATGGGTTGTACTTCCTTGCAAAGTACCATAGAGGGTATCAGTAACACCCCTAACTTTTCGGTAATACTTGAAAAAATCTCATTTTTGGTTAAAAATCACAAAAGTATTTGAATGAATCCTGAAATTGTCTGCTGACTTTTGCCTCTTTTTGTTCCAGTGCCACCGAAACAATTATTTTGTGATTTGCTCACCATTATTTTGGTTGTAGACCTTCAGTTCTCTAGTTGGCGCAACGTGTCCCGAGAGCACATGACCTCTACTGGCTCCTCGTCCAATTATACTCCCATCCGATTTCGTCTCCACCATGCCTCGACTCTGGTTACCGTACATCTGGTCGAAGTATTTGGTCGGACTCACAGAAGCAGCGCGGCGTTGCATCGACAATATTTGCTCACGCGACAACACTTGATCACGTGACACTATTTGTTCTCGTGTTTTGTTTTGATCACGTGGTAAAGATTGATTGTAACTGCCAGGTTGACTATTCTGCAGATAGTAACCTGGTTGCCTGTTATTGTAATCAACTGTGTTCTTACCGGAATTATTAGTAAGTTGGGTCATTTCGAATTGGTTTGAATTTCGTTGTTGTTGTTGCATTGTGTTAAATTGAACTACTTGAGCTCTTGGAAGTTGTCGATTTAAGCTTCTCGAGTTTTGCGGTAAAAAAGACTGATTTTCCTGGTACTCAAAGTAACTCGGAATTTTCGCTCCCGTTGTGGAATCAAATATTTTTTGTGGTTCTGAAACGTTACGATTAACACTGATGGCTTTGTTTTGAACTCGAATTTGCGTTGTTCCAAGATTCGGTTGGTTTTGATGAAAATTCCCTGCTTTTTCACAAAATTTCAAATTATCGGAGATGAATCCAATGGCTTCAGTATTGCTACTATTTCTGCTCTCAGTGATAGTAACTGGGTTCTCGATTCCTTGGTTATTTTCTGGCCCGGCGTTGGTTCTGGCTCCAACCGGCTGACGGTTCCAGAAACCTTTTCGTTGGCTCACAATAACCGGAACTCTAGTTTTGCTTTTCACTTCAAGTTTCTGTGGTATAATTTGTTCAGGTGGGCGCCTTGCTTCATTACTACTCAAGTTATAATTATCAGCCACGATGAAAAATAACCAGTTGATGACTGGTTTATGATTAATTATAACATTAAAGGTTGATGAAAAAACTCAGCCGTAATAATTTCTTTTGATTTGACCATGTACAATCGTACCATATAAGTCTGCGTATCTGTCAATGTTCAACTTCATCAACTTAGTCTTAACAAAACAAAAAGAAAATGATTTTGTTACGATTACAAATTACGACGCGAAGTTGAAAACGGTAAAAATTGAATGGTATCAATAGAAAACAGCACGTTTAACTACAATTGATTATTGAACAGGTACTATTTTGCTTTAGATTTTCAAACATAGTCCAAACTAAAACTGAAAAGATAGAAAAACGAAGTTGCTCTTCAGACGATCATGGTGAAAACTAATACTAAGTATTAGTCATTATTTATGACGAAGCTTCTGGTCTTTAATGCACTTCGTATTGTAATGTGTTTAAATGAATTATGATTAAAAAAAAACAATTTGTTAGTTTGAATATGCGCCCAAATAGATTTCAAATTGAAAATAATGGATCAAAGAGGCACATTGTTCCAACAACATATCAGTAAAAGAAATTTTAAAAAAGTGATTTTGTTACATGGATTGACCTAAATTACTTGGATTGTTTTTGCAAAATATTGAATTTGAATTCTGCCATTTTGATGCAAATGAACAATTAATTTCATAGAACAATTCAATTCATAGTGGTATGAGGTGCAAGGCATTGTGATTGGATAGATTTTTGAGACTAGAGTTATAGAACATTGAACATTCTTGTTAAGAGACTAAAATTAAGCTCTACGAACTGAATTGTTACACAGATAACCTAGAAAAAAGGAATGATCGGATTGATCTCTAGGCTTTTCTCTGCTTCTCTTGTTCTCTCTCATTTCATCTACTCACTTTCACTCTGGCACACTATTTTCATTTCCAGAGCAGCAAAAAATTGAGGCTTGTTTTTTTCTTCATTTGGAGAGATATTCCATAATATAACCTTTGATTCAAAATATTTTTGGCAGCCTTATTGTTATCAAATATCATTCAACATTTTTTGTGAATTCATCTGCAATCTATCAATTTACAAATTACTAAAATATTGTCACATTATCTTTAACAACTTCACAGAGTGATAGTAATTTTTGAAAAGATAATGGTATGATAAATGTGTGACCTTTTCCATCATTTCATCATATTTTTTGTTTTATTCTGTTGAAACTGCGAGTCAAATCACAGTTTTGCTGTCGGTAGTTTTTTTGACTTACTGGCTTAGTTATGAGAGGTCACAGTGAGACAGCACTGTTGCCTTGATGAATTGATGTCTTTCAGTTTTTATAATTCTTTTATGCCTGTTTTCAGATTAGTTTCATATTTTAGAGCAATTAAATTCGGATGTTTCGGACAGTCACGACCAAAATAAAGGCTTTTCAAGACTGCCGCTACAAAATACAGTCTTTTTAGACTTTCCAGACATCCAGACATAGACATAAATGGTATTTGTGGTTTTTGTTTGTTTTCTCATAATGCAATTGAGTCAGATAATTCCCAATATTTTAACTATCAAGCGGTAAGCCGATCTGCATCAAGTCGGGTAGCTTTAAGAAACTTTTTACAGCCCTACCATTCAGAAATTGAATCTGAATTTTTTCTGGAAGAATTTAATGAATCTTTATGCGAAAATTTATTCCATTTTGAAACAAACATTAACCAAATGAGTAGCGATGAGCATTTTTTTGTCAAACGAAAAGCTCAGAATAAACATTGAATAATTTTCAGCAGAAATAAATTCAATAAGAAAAACCTCGAAGCACTGAGTAGATAATGAAAGGAAAAATGCAGCATGGAAAAAACATCAGTTCAGGAAAATTTTTATAGAAACTGGAACCACAGAGGCCAGAAGTGAATTTGAATTTCACAGCAAATTAGTTCGTAAAATGCGAGTCAGAAAAAAGAGCATTTTTTGAAAACAAATAACGATTGGAATCCAACAACAACATCAGAAAATTTTTCAGTCTATCTAACGAATTAACATGTGCTGCCAAAGACAACAACAAGGAAAAAGAGAACATAAAGGTTGATGAGTGTAACGACTTTTTTGCAAATCTTGGAGAGAAAAGGCGAGGAAGTTTACTACCTTAAAAGAATTAGGAGTCAGAAAGCGGATCAACTCAACAATTTTAGCAGACATAATGCAAAGTGAAATATCAAAAGAAATATTGCTAAAAATCAAGTTTAGTTTAGATGCATATGGACTTAATAATTATTAATTGAAAAAGAAATTGTCAGTTTTGCACCCAGTTTTGACAATTCTATAAAAAAAAATGTTTAGATTGACAGTTTTTCCAGATAGTTTTGAAACTGTTTAAGTTAAACATCTCTCAAAAGAAGGCAATGATCTAGACCCATCAAACTACAGGCAAAATTCTCTTTCACAAGTCTTAGGTCAATCGTAAATCTTTTGAGCGGGTCATCTATAACAGAATGAACCAATATCTCACTAAGTATCAATTATTACAAAATTGTCAGCTTAGATTCAGATCAAAAACGAGTTCAATTGATGCTTTGATAATCATAATAGAAGAAGTGCGTCAGGATTGGAAGTCTAAGTGCATGAAGACACAGTGCAACTTCATTGACCTTACACAAAATCTTTGATACAGATGACCACATACTTTAATGGATAAATGAGACGCATATGGTTTTCGGGGACCTGTTGTGGACCTTCTGATATCCTAGTTAAAAAACTGACAACAATAGGTTGCCACTAAAATCAAACGCTCTCAAAATAAAAACGTGAATTATGGAGTACCACAAGGATCCATACTAGGGCCGCTTCTTTTCATCAATTATATAAATGATATTGAACTAAATGAAAATAGTGAAAGCAATCTGATTTTATATGCAGACGATACTATCATGAAAAAACAGCTAGAAACAGTGAGTGAACCGGTAAACACCAGGAAGCCTAGGACAAAACATCAAATTGGTTTGAAAAAAAAACAAGCTGACCTAAAATGAAGATAAATCAAAAACAGTGATACTATCTAAGAAGAGCAGCGGAAACTCAGACATAAAATTGAAAGGAATAATTATTGAAAAGAAACAATCGTTCCGTTACTTAGATGCTCAAATTGACTGTAAATTTTCCTTTATCGATCATAATACATAAATTAATTTGTCGAGGTTTTGTGGTACATATTACAGGTTAAGAAAAAATTTAGGTAAGGATCAACTATTGAAAACTTATAACGCTTATATGAAACCCATTTAGGTGTACGGGGTTTCGGCTTATGCGTCATCCGACAAAGCTAAATTAGAAACAATTGATCTTAAAATCAAACGAATTTTGAAAATTGATAGTTTTGATGAAAATTGATAGAAAATTGATGAAGAAAAGAAAGGAGAGCATAGAAGAAATAAGTCAAAAATAACATACTTCATAGAGGAATTACATATCTAAGAAATTTTAAAGTTAAGGTGTAAGGTTGTGAGAAAAGAGAGAATATCGGCCATAATCTAGGAAGTTGAAAGTTGAATTCAAACTTGTGTAATTTGAATTCAAACTTAAGGAAGTTGAATTCAAACTTGAGTAAGAGAATTTCAGCTAGGCAGATACCTATGCATTCAAAGGGTAATCAAAAAGATTCGATAAATGTTAGAATTGGAAAGATTTAATTTTTTGTTCTAAAAAACTATACAGATTTTTAAAATGGGTTCATAGCTGCACAGAATATCAAATGCAAATCTTCAATCATGACTTTTTGGACGTTTTCATTTTAGGAAACTATCAACTGGTTAAACTCATTTTTGGATAGGAATATCACTTGAAAGGATTTTTCTGTGAAGGATAGGTATACTGCTGAAACTTCCCATTTTGATTAAAATTCTTTTTTCATTGAACCATTCCTGTTGATTTATTGATTAATTATCGATTTTACAAACTATCAGTAATCATAGCAGGATGAGAGGCGCCTGAAAACGGGCTGCAAAGTTCAACGGCGTTCTTGCAATGAGATTTCAGCCTGCTGTTCTTGCAACGCTTTTTCAGCCTGCTGTTTTTTAAAATTTTAAATTGGTAAGAATTTCACAGTCAATAGATTCTACATTGGAAACTATTTTTTTTAATTTTTTTAATTAGACTTGCTGCAGACGTGCAAAATTATGATGGTTTATTATCACCAGTCAGATCTGACTTCCGTTCAAATACTTGGTTTTATGGCTATATTATGCCTACTTATATAATTCAAACCAGAAAAAAAAGCGCTCAGATCTGCAACTCAATTCGACGAAAGGTACCACTCGCTAATGTAGTTTAGGTTAGGAAATCGACCTTATGGATTCGATCCCCTACTGACCCAAAGGCCCCCCTTTGTATTCACTTACGAGGCCAAACTGTGTACTGGATAGGCGAAAAATTGGTGTTTATAGGTTTCTGAAATCCAGAGGCAAGACATGAAACCAGTTCAAATTTTGCCGTAACGATCAACTAAAACTAAAGAACAAAATAAGAACAAAGAGAATCTCCTTCGGCGCCAGTATACGCTAATTTTGAGAGAAGAGCGCTCGCAAAAAAAACGCAAATTTTTGGTCACAATTTTCCAAAAAGTACCTCAAAACGCTTTTTCAGCCTGCTGTTTTTTAAAATGAGCCTGCGGCGCAGAGAAATTGGTAAAAATTGAGTCTCTATAATGATTTGGGAAAGCTCAAAAAATCAATCTGGTCGACCTAGAAAAAAATCGACAAAATATTGAAATTTTTTAAAAATCCACCAATACAAGCCCCTCGAGAAAATTCTAGAGCCACCCTTTTATCGGTTGATTGTAGTATAATATCATTTGAAAATTAATCTTGCCGACATAGAATCATTAAGTAAATTTTTATGCAATTTTTAATTATGCTTTTGAGAAAACAAATTCTCAACTGTATAAAAACATTCACAATTGTCTCTGTCTTTGTTCACCAACCTGGCAACAACGCTTAAATTAGTTAGGAACACGGAAATATTACAGTATCTAAATGGGTACAGAGAGAGAAAGGAACACTTAAGAATACCCATTTGGGGAATATGCAGAACTAAAATTTAAACCAAAAAGGGTTAAGATCTACAGTTTATTCAGGTACATTTTGCAAAGCAAACACGTTTGTTAAGTTCATCATATTCGTGTTGGAGCATGTGTCTAAT